TTATACAATTCATTTTAGGTGAAATTACTTATGGAGGTAGAGTTACAGATAGTTGGGATCTAAGATGTATGAAAACAATTCTAACTATTTTCTTTTCTCCTAAAACTTTGACTTTGAGTAAGTAACTTAAAATTAAATCATAATTACAAATACAACATATATTTATAAAACATTTGTTAATATAAAATATCATAGATTATATTTATTCACCATCTGGAAAATATTATTGTCCTGTATACAAGACTTTACAAGAATACAAAGACTTTATAGAAACTTTTTCTATAATTGATGATCCAGAAATATTTGGAATGCACGAAAATGCAAATATTGCTTATCAGGTAATTAAAATTACTCAAATATAATCAGAAGAAACATCATTTCCTTAATGCTAATTTATATTTATATTATCGTATTAGTTGAGAGAAACGCACTTCATCTTAAAGACTATTTTGGAAGTGCAACCACAAGAAATTACTAGTGATGAAGATAAATCTACTTCAGATATAATACATGATCTAGCTGAAATGATTAATGAAAAAATTCAGTTAAAAATAGATCCTAAAAAATGTAATCCTGAACATTTAAAAGTAAACAATAATTTTAATTTTATAATATTATAATATTATATTATAATATTATTATAATATATATTAATATATATATTATATTAATTATAAAATAAAAATTATCACAAAATATTTATAGAGAGATTCAGCAGGAAGACTTCCATCTCTAACTATTGTTCTCCTTCAAGAAGTTGACAGATATAATAAACTGTTAATCAAAATACATAAATCAATAGAAAATTTAGAGCGAGCCATCAAAGGTTTTGTTGTCATGTCTGAAGAATTAGAAAATGTCTTTATAGCCCTCATCAATAATCAAGTTCTGTTACAATTATTATTTTTTTTATCCACTAATACTTTAAAAAATAATATTTTTTCAATAGAAAAATTTATATAAATATTCTTAATTACTTTCATAGTTTTTCCTAATAATATATCATAAATTAGGTACCACAAATATGGCATAATGTAAATGTCTATCCATCTTTAAAAACCTTAGGAAGCTGGATTAAGAATTTGGAGCTAAGAATTGATTTTATTCAAGTAAAACTACAAAATAAAAAATTAAAAAACTAAAAAAAAAATTACTAAATCACAGTTTAGTAATTATTATACATTACAGATTTGGTTAATTGATGTAAAACCAATTTCTTTTTGGATTTCGGGTTTTTCTTTTCCTCAAGGATTTTTAACTGGCATGTTACAAACATGTGCAAGAAAATATAACATTCCTATAGATCACTTAAAGTTAGATTTCATTGCCAAAAATATTTTACTTGATCAAGAAGAAATAGAAATAGAACACAAGAAATCTGGAAAAGAGGTTTGGTCATTATAAATATTTTATTACTGCAAATAATACAACAAAAAATATATATATATATAATAATTTTATAATAATAATAATAGGTAATAGAAGTATATAAAGACTTACAAGTGCCAGAAGATGGAGTTCTAATACATGGGTTATTCATTGATGCTGGTAGATGGGATTTTAAATCTATGCAATTAATAGATGAATATTTAGGTAAAGTGTTAATTTTAGAAACATTATTTTTTTAAATAATATATTATTGAGAAAATGTAATTAATTAAAATTATCTATTTTAGGTGAAATGCATCCATCTCTTCCAGTTTTACATATAAATCCAGTATTAAAGCTTCCAGAAGATGATCCAAGATATGTTTGTCCTTTATATAAAACAGCAATTCGAGCAGGTGTATTGTCTACAACTGGACATAGTACAAATTTTGTTGTTGCAATTCTACTTCCATCTGAAAAGGAACAATCACATTGGATTTTGAAAGGAACAGCACTTTTAATTGAAATTATAAATTAAATTTTCTATGTTATATCTAATATATTAATTAACAAGTCAGATATAATAATTGAAACATAAATTTAGAATTTCATATATTTATATTTATGTTATATACATACTTTACAATATAAAGATTTTAAATAAATATTAATATAAATGAATATATATTTTAATTGCAATGGAAATAATTGAAAATATGACATAATATGTGTAAATAGAAATCAAAATAATTCTTTTTGTTTTCTCTTTACAAAATTAACATGATAATTATAATCCTCTTTGTCAATCATCCACATTAAGGCCATATAAATTGTGAGTATTGAAGCCAATAATAACCTGTCTAATCTATAAAATATTTAAATTCAATTATTTATTTAATTTAAACAATCTAAGTATTATTATATAAAAAATTTAAAAATATATCTTACGTCATATACGGATATATCCATAAAATAATAAGAAATCCTATAAAACTTGGATGTCTCATATGTGAATAATAACGTAATAATTTTTTAGATTTCATTTGCATGGGACTTGGTCTAAATGAAAATTTGTAATATACTTGTTTTATTCCAACTAATTCAGATATATCCATCATTAAACATCCACTATAAATTATTGACCAAACCAACACATGAAGAGCAGTAAACATGAACCACAAAACATTATTAGAAATAATATTAACTTTCCATAATATAATGGATGAAATAATTTGCCATTTATTGAATAATAAATGGAGAGTCATAGCACTAGTAACATTATAAATACTTCTCTCCATATAATCCATTTGTAATTTACAAAATAAATGTTTTATAAAATCATTAGCCATAAGTGAATGTTGTAATACAAAAATACTTAATAGAAACATATTTATTATTAACAACCATAATACAGAATCTTTATCTGTAATATAAATTTGTAAGATAAAAACTGAATTATAAGCAAATTATTGTATATTTTTTTTTTGATAAATATTCAATTAAAAGAATTATGATTATTACTATTATTACTATTATTATTACTTACTGTTTTGTGATGAAATAATTGCTTCTTTATTTTCATCGTAATTCGATAAGAAATATGTTAAATTACACAAAACATAAAAAGTATACAAAAAGCAAATAATACAAATCACTACACTAATATATTTTACAAACATTTTTATAAATAGTTAAAAGATTATTTATATATTATTAAAATTATATATAATTATTTTATATACTAATCATTATAAACAGTATAATTGTATATAAATAATTATTAATAATATTTTGATTAGACTTTCAACTTGAGTAAGTACTTGTTTATTTACAGAATTTATAAATATCATTAAATTTATAAGAAATAGATATGAATCTTTATTGGAACTATTGAGAGACATCTGATTGTCCATATTGGCGCGAATTCATATTATTTTAAAATATTTATTATTTGGATATATGCCACAATATATGAAAAATATAATGAAAATAAGTAAAAAAATCTTTTAATTTTCTTATATAATAAAATTTTCAAATAATTATTATTTATTTATTTTTAATTACAATATCGTTATTCTTTTAAGTTGATACAATATAAAATTCGGGCAACGCCTGTCGAAACGATTGTCATCAATGACTGTAGTGTTTCGTATTATCTGTATCATCGGTTTGGAATGCAACTTTCCGTCAAAAGAGAAGGTCAGGTTAACTTTCAATCGTGTGGTTTAGAAATTTGCACGTCAGTTAGCTGGCTTTTAAAAAAACTTGGGTGGTATTTGTCAATATCTAATTTGTAAGTATTTAATATGAAATATGCATTATATACACATAATAGTAGTAATATTTTTTAAAGAATGCATGAAATGTAATATAAAATTTTGCAATAATAATTTCTCTTCAATTATCATTGTAATAAATATATTTTCAAAATTTCATACAATATTATTACATTTACTATCAATAAATAATTAAAAAATATATTATACAATTATATTTTTAAATGTTTTCTAAATATTATTTTTATAATAAACAAAAACCGTAATAATAATCTTTTAAATACTAGAAACTTCAGCTTTTGATTAAAATTTTTTTGTATAATTTTTAAGTATTTATATTTGCCTTAATTATAATATTAATGTAATAATATTTGCTTTAATAAAATATCTAAATTATGAAAATAAATTTAGTAAGAAATGAAATTGAGAAGATATTTGAAAAAATTGGAATAAAAATAATAATTTAAAATTAATTTAATGATTCATTAATTAAATTGTTTAATTTATTATATTATCATTTATCATTTTATCATTATATTATCATATATCATTTTATTATATTTTTATAGTTGGTCCAAGATGTCAAATCCTGCAGAACGTTTAAACTATATTCAGGATAGCAGTAGTGATACAGAAACAGATAAAGAAACGGGTGGTAGAGGACGTCATCGTATTTATAAGAATAGAATGAGGTACTATGTAAAAGATATAAATAAATATAATATTCAGTATAAAAAAGAAAAATATATAGATATTTTAGATATTTTAGATATCTCTAGATATTTCTAGATATTTTAGATATTTTAATATTAGTTTAATTTTTTAGTTTATTAAAATAAATATTTTAGATTATTGATATTATAAAAGTTTTATTTGTAATCTATATTGCCTTTAAAATATCTATTTTAATAATTACATATTTAAAATCAAGCATGTATCGAAGAATGTTATGTAGAATGTCATGCATGTCAGATTTTTTTTTAATTGAAAGTTATCAATTATTACTTTTCATGTTTTAATATTAGATTCAATCAAAAAAAATATATATTAAAACATTATTTATATAAATGTGTATTAAAACAATTATTTTGTTTTGTTTATATGTTTTGTTATGTTAATTTATTCTGTTTTATATGATTGTTTATTTTTCAAAAAAATTTAATTTATATTATATAATTAAATATGTTTTTATAATTATGTCATTTAAAATTTTTAAAGATTTGCTTGATTTCATTTATTTATTTTTTTATTATTCTTTCTTATTAAAAAATTCTTTTCTTTATTAAAATAAATTTTGAAACAATAATAAATTAAATAAATAACTAGAAAACTATATTATTAATTAAATTACTTTTGCAATAAAAATTTTATGTATATATACACTTATCTATTATTTAAATTAATTCTTATCCTATATATTAGATTAATAGATAGTACACAATGCTTGTTGTCGAATGCAAATATTAGAAAGGTAATGTTGTTGTTTTGCATGTAGTTGTGGTGGCTCTTCAAAACCAAAATCTTGTTTGGTACAAAGAGATGGGAGCAATGAAAGACACTGTCATTCCTTCAATTCTGGGAGACAAAATACTAATATTAATCAACAAAACAGGTAATATTCACATATGAATGCAAGATTGAAACAAAATTTTATCTTAATTTTAAAATATACTTCATGATTTTAAGTTAATATTTGATAGTGTTAATTATTGTATATTTTTGAGGATTATATTTTTATTTCTTATATTATACAAGAATCCAGGAATCATAAACAGGTAGGTGTTAGTTATATATTTATTCGATACTTTGCATTGCTTTATATGTTTATTAGTCATAATTCCTTTGTTTCATGTAGGTATTAATATTAAGTGATCTTCAGTAGTCACTTAGAACCATATTTTTCTTCAGACTTTGCTCTGGAGTTGGTGTTGGAAAAAATCAACAAAATCAAAGTAGAGACAATTTACCATCATCAGGATCTGTTACTGGTATAAATAATCCACAAGCAAGTGATGAACGCATTACTCTTATTGTTGATAATACTAGGTAAATTTATTTAATATATTTTTAATTATTAATATAATTATATTAAACTAGAACTTAAATTTTAATTTTAGATTTATTGTTGATCCTGCATTATTTACTGCACATCCAAATACAATGTTAGGTAGAATGTTTAGTTCTGGAGTTGAATATGCTCAACCAAATGAGCGTGGAGAATATGAAGTTGCAGATGGTATATCTGCTATGGTGTTTAGAGCTATTCTTGATTATTATAAAGGTGGTGTAATTCGATGTCCTCCGACAGTTGCTGTTCAAGAGTTACGAG